CTTCCCTGGTAAGAAAAATAAATTGACCGACTCAGTGTTTCATCGAGAATTCCCGGATTTGATTGACCACTGCAACACATTGACCGGGACTTACATTATACTAGGCGACATGAACTTTCATTTCGACCAACCACATCACCCCTCCACTGCTAGGATGTTGGATCTCTTGGATTTATTCAGTCTTCACCAATCAGTCGACCAACCGACTCATAATCGTGGACATATTCTTGACTGGGTACTACATAGGCCTCAAGATGGTGTAGTTAGATCTACTTCAATCACGCAAGAGCTGTCCTCTGACCACTTCTGTGTTATTTGTGAACTTAGTGTTAGTGCCCCCAACCCTCCCCCTCAGTTTAGGGAGGTGCGCAGTCTGCGAGCTATAAACAGGGATGCATTTAAGCATGACCTAAGTGTAGAAGTGTCCCCTGCCCTCTGCCCTACATTGGAATCACTAGACCGTGCATTGCGCGCTGTGCTTGACCGACACGCCCCTGTCACCCGCCGCAATTTTAGTCTAAAGCGGTCATCTCCCTGGTATGCGACCATCAAGGAGGAACTACGCAGTGCCAAGAGAGAGCGCCGTAGTGCAGAAAAGAAGTGGTTGAGGTCAGGTCTTGTGGTTTTTAGGCAGATATTTTACGCTGCCAAGAAGCGTGTCAATCAGATTGTTTGTCGTGCAAAGACTACGTATTTTAGCCAAAAGATAACTATGGGTAAAACCAGCTGGCAGTTGTATGAGGTTTGTGGTCACCTTAGGGGGAGTAACAAAGGAACTGCGCTTCCTTCGGTGTTTCCCCTGCCCAAGCAACCAGATATTTTCTGTAATTTCTTTACAAGCAAAGTAGCTGGCATTCGCGCTGAGCTTGATCGTCTTGATGCCCCTCCCCTTGAAATCCTACTTTCCCCTGTCTTACTTCACATTTCAATATTTTTAAACCTGTTTCAGAACTTGAGGTCAAAAGTATAATTTTAAAATCTAAACATACGTCATGTTCTTTGGATCTCATTCCAACCCCCCTGTTTGTTGAGTCATTAGATATCTTGCTCCCAACGATAACCCGCATAATAAATGAAAGCTTATATTATGGCACTGTTCCGCCTCTTTGCAAATCAGCTGTCATCAAACCATTGCTTAAGAAGCCCGGTCTGGATGAAAATAATTTAAATAACTATAGACCTGTATCTAACTTATCATTTTTATCTAAAGTTATTGAAAAACTAGTCCTAAAACAACTTTTTGCTTACTTAAATGACCACTCTCTTCTCAGTTCTAATCAGTCGGCCTATAGACATTTCCATAGCACGGAGACAGCTCTCTTGAGAGTCAGTAATGACCTCTTGCGCGCAATGGACAGCGGTAATGTCTCCATTTTGATCCTCTTAGACCTCAGTGCGGCCTTTGACACTGTTGACCATGAAATCCTTTTCAAAACCC